CCAACGAATAGTGGGATTGACCATCACATTATAACGCCCCCACGGCTGAAAGGGCGAGCATGTTTGATGTGACGGGGATTCGAACCCGCAACCCGCAGATTGCTAGTCGAGTTCCTTAACCACCTGGCCATGCCGGCCAGACTTATACTTGGACTTGAATCTAGGAACCCAGTAATAAAATGCTTTTATTATACCATCACATGACCTGGTTCATACAAACGTTTGGCATTTGTTTTAGCCCTTAGTAGCTTGATTTTAGAAACACCTGTCACGTTTCGTCAATATATCCAATTATCATATAATATATATATATTGTTGTTACTTGTTCTTTTGTTGGCGGGTTTCTGGTGAAAATAACGCAAACGTCCAGTCAACTTAACGACAATATATTAACTTATTTTCTCCTTGAAAGATCCTGGAAACGTGAGTATATGACACTACCATAACTTACTGTAGGCCTATGTTACAGATGACATTAAACTAACCTAAAACAAAACAATTGTTACGTCTCCGTTCGTTAGTTAATTTTCCGTAAATTCGTTACGACGAAACTTTAGCGACACAAGTTCTTTCTTAAATAAAACGGGTTTATTCTTTCTGAATATAACTTTGCGATACACTTAATTTCAACAGTCGCGCTATAACAAACGCTATAATTCTCAACGAACGTCTCACGTGCTCGATTTCAACAATACTCAGTTCAATTACACACATTGTTCCGTCACGTTGTTACCGTTTTCTATATAAAAGATTAACACATATCTAGTAAAAGCTAGAGCATTCATGAAGGAACAGGATATTTCTAGAAGGACGTGGTGTGATACTAGTCACGTGACCTCGCTGACGCAACACTGCTCCTCCTTAGTATTGTTCGTCCCGAACAATAGCCACTTACAATAAACCAATAACAATTAACAATAACTTAATTAAATGTACAGAATTACAAACACAAAATTAAAATTCGACAAAGTCTCTTAATTTTACGGGACGTATCTTCTTCCGTACTGGTCTCCGTCTCGTTGGCTTCTGCATAATGTGGGGTTCATCTGCTTCATCAGGAAACGTCCTATCGTCGATAACAGTCACACCAGTGGTAGGCACTTCATCAAGAGCTTCACCATTTCCCTTC